TCCCTCTCCTCTCTCTTCCTCTCTTTCATATCTTTCTTCTTCTCTCTCTCCTCCCTCCCTCCTCCTCTCTCCTCTCTCCTCTCTCTCCTCCCTCTCTCTTCTCCTCCTCTCTTCTTCTCTCTCTCTCCTGATTGTTCTGATTAGTTAATTACTTTATACAACACATCTGCTGGATTGAAGCATGAATTATACATCAGCTGCATGTGGCGACTATTATTCCGCGTTACTTCTACCTTCGCCTTCGCTTCGCCCAAAACGTTTAAGGCGGAGTCGGCGAGCGCGGCGAGGGCGAGGACGGGGGGAGGGGGGGGACGGCGAGGAAGGGGGCGGGGCCAGAGCGAAAGAGGGACAACAAATACAAAGCAATTAGAGTAATAAGATTGCGAGCAGATCTGTGGCGGAGGAGACGGGCGTGGGACAAAACAGACACGTTTTATTGGACTTTTGCTTCGCGTCGGGCTCGAGCTCGAAAACGAAAATCGAAAAGACGTTTATCGATACTGAAACTGGTATCGGAACCGGATACTCGTCTGGGCGAGTATCGATACCGGAAAAGTCCAGATCAAAACGGACTCTTGTGAGTTTTAAGTCGTGTTCTAATGTGGTTTTCTCCTCACAAAAAAAAAAAAACAGACCTGGAGTTTTGTTTTGTTCCTTTATTATTTGTCTTTCTACATCTTCAAAGCTCAAAATGTTCTGCTCCACCTTGTGATGTCATGAAGTGGTAGTTTTTAAGTTCACAGCTTCATTTTACTAGTGTCGTATTACTCAAGACCTTTTTTTTAAGGTCTTTTAAGGTCTTTTTAAGGTCTTGTCTCATCTCAGAATCAAGCACAATTGGACTTGGTCTTGTCTCGGTCTCGACCCTCAGAGGTCTTGGTCTTGTCTCGGTCTTGATCTTTAAAAGTCTTGGTCTTGTGTCAGTCTCAAACCTCAGAGGTCTCGGTCTTGTCTCAGTCTCGACCCTTAGAGATCTCGGTCTTGATTCAGTCTTGTCTCAGTCTCAGCCCTCAGAAGTCTTGGTCTTGTCTTGCTCTTGTGCTTTAAAAGTCACGGTCTTGTCTCGGTCTGGACCCTCAAAGATCTCGGTCTTGTCTCGGTCTCAACCCTCAGAGGTCTCGGTCTTGTCTCTTTCTCAACCCTCAGAGGTCTTGGTCTTGTCTCGGCTCTCAACCTTTAAAAGTCTTGGTCTTGTCTCGGTCTCGAACCTCAGAGGTCTTGGTCTTTGTCTCGGTCTCGACCTTTAAAAGTCTTGGTCTTGTCTCAGTCTGGACCCTCAGAGGTCTTGGTCTTGTCTCAGTCTCAATCTTTAAAAGTCTTGCACTCGACCTTCCGAGGTCTCGGTCTTGTCTCGTTCTTGACCTTTAAAAGTCTTGGTCTTATCTCAGTCTCGACCCTCAGAGGTCTTGGTCTTGTCTCGGTCATGACCCTCAGAGGTCTCGGTCTTGACTCGGTCATGACCCTCAGATGTCTTGGTCTTGTCTCGGTCATGACCTTCAGAGGTCTCGGTCTTGTCTCAGTCTTGTCTCTGTCTCGACCTTTAAAAGTCTCGGTCTTGTATTAGTCTCGATCTTCAGAGGTCTCAGTCTTTCTTCAGTCTTTGTCTCTCTTAAAAGTCTCTCGATCTTGTCTCGGTCTTGTCTCTGTCTCAACCTTTAAAAGTCTCGGTCTTGTCTCGGTCTCGACCCTCATAGGTTTCGGACTTGTCTCGGCCTTGGATCTCGGACTGGTCTTGGTCTCGATTATTCTTGACCACAACTCTGCATTTTTTTTTTTTTTTACAAGAGATCTGTCAATTCCATGAAATTGAACTCATCCAAATGATTCTAGTGAAGGTGTCTGGACTTTAAAAACACAACGGAGCACTTCCTGTATCACCACATGACATCACAAAGTGGACCAAAGCCTATGTACATGCAGTATTTGTGTGTTAAACCTGTGTGAAAGAAACAAAACACAACTCCAGGTCTGTTTGTGACGAGGAAACGACAAAAACAGAACAGAAAACAGCGTAAAATTGGCGCTTTAATTACATAAAAAAAACACGTACGGGTTCTTTTATTAGGATGTTTGCAGAAATAGTCGTGGGTTATTTTAAAAAACGCTCGTCCGTGTTCGTGTAAGTTCCTCCTCGGAGTCTGAAAGTGTGTTTTGTATCACTTGGACCAGCACGAGTATTTTTAGGCGCAGTATTTTTATGAACAGTCTTCAGTATTCACACTGTGGACGTTTAAAGACGACCGCACCACCGCTTTTTATAGATCTGTTTGTTCAGGACCAACTCAGCCTTATGTAACAGATAATACTCCCTACAACTGTGCAACAAGTCACGCTTATGTAACTGATAATACTCCCTACAACTGTGCGACAAGTCACGCTTATGTAAAGATAATACTCCCTACAACTGTACAACAACTCACCCTTATGTAACAGATAATACTCCCTACAACTGTGCAACAAGTCACACTTATGTAACAGATAATACTCCCTACAACTGTACAACAAGTCACACTTATGTAACAGATAATACTCCCTACAACTGTGCGACAAGTCAGCCTTATGTAACTGATAATACTCCCTACAACTGTGCAACAAGTCACGCTTATGTAACAGATAATACTCCCTACAACTGTGCGACAAGTCACGCTTATGTAACAGATAATACTCCCTACAACTGTACAACAACTCACACTTATGTAACAGATAATACTCCCTACAACTGTACAACAAATCACGCTTATGTAACAGATAATACTCCCTACAACTGTCACAAAACAGATAATACTCCCTACAATTGTACAATAACTCAGCCTTACATAACAGATAATACTCCCTACAACTGTATAACAAGTCACACTTATGTAACAGATAATACTCCCTACAACTGTACAACAAACTCACCTTATGTAACAGATAATACTCCCTACAACTGTACACAACTCAGATAATACTCCCTACAATAACTTCACCTTACATAACAGATAATACTCCCTACAACTGTACAACTCACCTTATGTAACAGATAAACAACTTACTTACCAAATTCTTATGTCACAGATAATACTCTCTAGTACAGTACATCAACTCAGATAATACTCCCTACAACTGTCAATCATTATTTCATTTTTGCACTTTTTGTTTTTTCATACGACCTCTTGTAAATAACTCTGATATATTTGTATTATTATATTTTTATACTTTATTTTTTACGTGTACATTTATATTTATATAATTATGTCTTATTTCACACGTGTCTCTTGTTCTTTTTTGATAATTATTTAAAATGTATTATTACCATTTTTATTTTTTACTGTTTGTTATTATCATATGTTGTGACGTTTGACTCCTGTGTCCAAATGTGTGTGTGCGTGTGCGTATTTTAGCGCGAGTGTGTGTTAGTGTGTTTGTGTTATCGTGTGAGTAATGGTTCTATTCTGGTCGTGTCTGGGGGCAGTCTGTGAAACGCCTCGGGTCGGTGGCGGTGGCGGCGGCGGCGGCGCTGGCGATGGCGTGCGGAGGTGAAAATGGAGTTGAATCAGAGCAGGTGTTTATGTATCTGCAGAAATAAACCGATATTTGTCACTTTAAGCGGAGGAGATATCGGCAGGGAGGCTCAGACACGGGTCGATGTTTTGTTAACGAGGATTTTTATTGTTTTAGATGCACGTAGAAGAATGTAGAGACTTAAAATTACAAAAACTGAGATTTAATCGAATTTGTTGCATGGCTGAGTAAAAATACAGATATATTTTTAGTTCTTTTTACTCTTCTATTTTCCATTCTTTATTTATTTATTCACGGAAATGACACAGACACACAGAGACTGGGGCAGGTTGGAAAAAAATATTGATTATTGATTATATTTCGGCTAAATGTACGTGAAAATCCCACAGTCAAATGAAGCTCATCGAGGCTCGCAGTTATAGGAGCGAATCTGGAGCAGAGTTTCATGTTAGGAATAGAAATTATAGATTAAAACGGTGAAACTCAAACCTCAGGATCATGTAGAGCGGGTTTTTATGAACGTTTTAAGCCCAAAACGACGAGACGACGAGCGACAGTTACAGAGAGAGGAGCCGCAGTTTTTCAATGGAATGACGTCAGTGGAACCAGAACGACGCCCGTGAACATTTACTATTTGGAACACAGCCGCACTAATACCAATACTGGATCCTACTGCATATATTATCCTTTTCTAGTTTATAGTATTTTGACGTTTGCTCATTTAATTGTTAAAAATTGTCGAGAAAAACATTTTCAATAATCAATTTCCAATAGTCTAAAGATTTCGTTTGCGGACATTTACATAACCTCGTGTTTACAGTTCCGTGTGTGTGTACATTACTGTATTTATATTATTATTTATATTATTATATTTAGTTTTAACTTACATAATATTAATATATAATAGTATAATAATTTATATCTTATTTGATACAAGTCGCTAGCTGTTTTTTATTGCTACTATTTAGAAGTTATTTACCATTTTTCTATTTTTTTTTTTTACTCTTTCCCTTGTGGATTATTTATCTATTTATTACTTTTATTTATTTATTATTATGTTTTATTTTATTTATTTATTTATAATTTTTATTTATTTATTATTTATTTTATTATTTTATTTTTTTTAATTTATTTATTCATTGGATCCCCATTAGTTTTTTATTGGGGTCCAAGTTAGTATAATTTAAAATAAAATACTCAATTAAAATAACTATAAAAGTTCACACATTACAGTCCTGTTCCATAGTAACTACATCATATTTTACGTAAATTAACTATAATAAATCCAACAAATTACAATTAATAAATTGTGACTAAATATAATTACGTACAGTTTCCAATATATTTCTTTAAAACTCGGTTCATGCTTGTAAACAATAAAGATTGTCTAAGTCGAAGTGTTTAGTACCAGTGTGTTTCCAGTGGATTGTGTGTGTGTGTTGTGTGTATTTGTGTGCGTTGTGCGTTTGTGTGTGTTTGTGTGTGTGTGTTTGTACCTGTGCAGCTGGATCTTGAGCGTGACCACGTGGTAAACATCCTGCAGCATGTCGGCCACTGTGGCGTCAGGGGCATCGGTCACATACGACAGGGGCACGGGGTTCCACTTCCCCACCTGGATCATGCCTGGCAGTGAAAACACAATAAATACACAAAATAAACACATAAAATTCAAAACAAAAATGAAGAAAATGACCAAAATCTGTATAATTTTGTCAGTCAATATCACTACATTTTCACATTTTTACGTTTTACTCTGCAAATATATTTTTAAACAGGTACTTTAATACTTCTACTAGATTTTTTTTTTTTTTTTGAGTTATAGTTTTACAATCCATGTGTCATTCGTTCATTTGTTTTTCAAAATAAAACCAAGAATAAGAAACCAAAAAAAAAACTGTTGGCTTCATTATTTGTCTCCAAAACCAAAATGAAAAAATAGATAAGGGCCGTTTTCTGTTTCCGTGACTTAAAACGCGATGCCAGATTTTTGTGCCACATCAGGCCTGAACCAGGACTAAAACAGGACTAAACCAGTCTCAGTCCCGGTCTCAGTCCCGGTCTCAGTCCCGGTCTCAGTCCCGGTCTCAGTCCCGGTCTCCCGACAGTCTAACGCAGGCGCACCTCTGGGCCCATCCCGACACTCATTACTGGTTTAGTCCTGATTTAGTCCTGGTTTAGACCTGGTTTAGACCTGGTTTAGACCTAGTTTAATCCTGTTTTAGTCCTGGTTCAGTCCTGTTTTAGTCCTGGTTCAGTCCTAGTTCATTCCTGCTTTAGTCCTGGTTTAGCCCTGGTTTAGTCCAGATTTAGTCCTGGTTTAGACCTGGGTTATTCCTGGTTTAGTCCTGGTTCAGTCCATTATCAATGTTTTTCCAATTTTTCATTTAAAAACTAAATCAAAAAACTGAAAAAACGAATCATCATCTGTTTTTTTTGTTTGTTTTTTTTTAATTTTGGTTTTGGAGACAAATAATGAAGAAAATAGTCGTTTTTTGTTTGTTTTTTTCTTATTTTTGGTTTTATTTTGAAAAACAAATGAACAAATGATACACAGATTTTTTTTTACTTTAACTGGAGTTTCACCTCTGTATTTGTACTTTTACTTCACACAACTGAGTAACCTTTTGTAACATTGACAAAAATGCATTTCTTGGGAGTTTCCCGATAACAACATCCTAACAAAATTATCACCAGCCTCATAGAATAATCAAGTGCTTTTTGTTTCTTTTTTTGTTCTGTTGTGTCCTTGGGCAAGACACCCTCCCTGCTTCATTATGAGAGTAATGTTTGGAAAAGCAGATGCGGCCGTGTCATTGTCCGTTGGCCCCAGGGCGACTGTGGCTCCTGTCGCTCACCAAATCCAAATATAATGTGGATTATTATTATTATCATGCATTCATAACCAGTGCGTCTGTAGTGTATAAAATATGAATTAAATACTTTTTGATACCATAATGATGATTAAAAACACATTTTAGAACAGAAAAGAATGAATATTTTACTAAAAAAATCGTTCTTGTGGTCTTCTATTCTGATATTTTTACCGTTTTGAAAGACCATTTGGAAATTTTCAGTATCATCTCTAGTTTTGATTCTCGTTTCAGAATCAATTAGGGCCCGTGTTTGATTTTATACTGTACGCGAACGCCTCCAGGAAACAGAAGAGCGTGGAGCGGGCCGACAGACAGACCATCATAAAGACGGAACAGCTGGTGTGGCCCCTGAGCTCCTGCGGCCATAATAACCCTCCGATTCTCTGATAGATTCTGTACGACTGAGTAACGCTCACATGCTCGGCTATAAGAACAGTGGCCCTGCCGTGTTCTTCTGTAACACTGTACGACTGCGTAACGTTCTCGTGCTCTCTTGTAACACTGTATGACTGAATAACGCTCTCATGCTCTCTTGTAACACTGTATGACTGAATAATGCTCTCATGCTCTCTTGTAACACTGTACGACTGCGTAACGCTCTCATGCTCTCTTGTAACACTGCATGACTGACACCCCCATGTTCTTCTGTAACACTGTACGACTGCGTAACGCTCTCATGCTCTCTTGTAACACTGTATGACTGAATAACGCTCCCATAAACTCCTATATGAACATTGTATGATTGAGTAACGCTCCCATGTTCTCTTGTAACACTGTATGACTGACACCCCCATGTACTTCTGTAACACTGTACGACTGCGTAACGCTCCCATAAACTCCTATATGAACATTGTATGATCGAGTAACGCTCCCATGTTCTCTTGTAACACTGCATGACTGAGTGACCCATACGCTCCTTGTAGCGACAATTTTAGTCCTAACCTTTTGTCATTTCTGGGTGCAGGGGATCCAGGCCTAACACGCTACTAGTTTGGCACATTAGATTGTAGAGCAGAAAGGAGTAGAATGGATGAATAGATGTTCAATAATATTACAGAGTTGAGTAGTGAAAGCTGGACCACCGGTCAGAAGGAGAGCGGTAAAAACCGTGTGACCTCCTGTCACCCATAGACCCAGTACACCGGCACCTGTGCATTTATATAAGGCTTGACTCCACCCTGCCCCCTTGTGGCCAAGCCGAATATAGGTCACCCTGTGCCCAGACAAACAGTGATCCAAATTAACCCCAGCCTAAACGAAAGAAAAATGTCTCCTACACTCCTATATGAACATCGTATGACTGTAATGCTCCAATGTTCTTCTGTAACACTGCATGACTGAGTAACGCTCCCATGCTCTCTTGTAACACTGTATGACTGCGTAACGCTCCCATGCTCTCTTGTAACACTGTATGACTGCGTAACACTCTCATGCTTCTTGTAACACTGTATGACTGCGTAACACTCTCATGCTCTCTTGTAACACTGTATGACTGCGTAACGCTCTCATGTTCACTTGTAACACTGTATGACTGTAACGTTCACATGCTCTGCTATATAAATGCTGTATGATTGAGTGACCCTCCCATGTTCTTCTATAGCACCGTATGACTGAGTAACTCTTTATGACCTAATTATCCTCCCAGTCTCTTCTATGTGATGTGCACTGCCTATGTAACAACGTATGACAACTTGTGACCTTCCCATACGCTCCTATATGAAAATTGTATGACAGAGTAACATTCCCATGTTCAGTTGTAACACGGTATGACTGTAACGCTCTAATGTTCTTTTATAACACTGTATGATTGAGTAACTTTTTATGACTGAGTTGCCCTCCCAATCTCCCTTATATGATGTGTGCAGCCTACGTAACACTGCATGACTAATGCTCATATGCTATTCTATATAAACACTGTATTACTGCATAACACTCCCATGTTCTCTTGTAACACTGTATGACTAAGTGACATTCCTATACACTCCTATATGAACATTGTGTGACTGTTAACCTTCCATTCTCTGCTGTAACACCGCATGACTGAGTAACACCGCATGACTGAGTAACTCTCGAAGTCTGTCCTGTATGATGTGCGCTCCCTTCGTAACACCGTATGACTAACGCTTCCACGCTCTCCTCTATGTAACACTGTATGACTGACTGACGCTTCCACGGTCTCTTATATGAACATTGTACCACCTGAGTAACACTGTATGACCACAGATGGCGTAAAAATAAATCAGGAATTATTTACGGTCAAAATATGTAAATTAAAAACACCGGGATCATTTCGAACGGGTTAATGCGAACAATTTACGACCAAAATGACGCAACAGTTACATAAATAGGAGGACAATTTTTCAATGTAAAGTGAATCGGAGCCAGAGTCGATGGAGCCAGAAGCGCGCCCGTGCTCACTTCCTGTTTGAAATGCGGTAACTATCGGGTCAGCTCCGTCTGTTTAAGTCTGGAGTCCGTATGTTCGTCCCCGCTCTGTGACGTAACCGCGGTATTGAGTATTAGTGTGAGAGATTTGGGCTGAGTGTCAGGCCGCGTTACAGCCTCCTCAGATCTGATCCTGCGCCGGGCGGCTGTGGTTACGCCGCATGACAGCGCTTCACATGAGCTAAAGACAGAGAGAGAGAGACAGAGAGGGCCGTGTGCAAACTCAAGACTCAACACGGAAGGATGAAAAACAACAACGGATTTGACTTTTGAGGAAACGCTGCGAAAATGTTCTGTCAGTCATTTATCTGAATGAAACTTAAGTCTGAAATAGGATGGAAAATTTGGTAACACTTTATAATAACTACACCTTATTTAGCCTTAATAAAGCATGAATAAAGACTTAATTAATAATGAACAAAGACTTAATTAACAATGATTCACGCTTAATAAATGCTCAATAAAGCATGATTCATCTTCACTTTAGAAAAACTCTCAAAAAGACTTAACTAACAGATAACAGCTGCCTGAATGATCAGTGTATAACATTATTAGTAAATCATTCTCTCATAGTTTATTAATGATTAATAAATGCTCAAATGGTTAGTTCATGAGTAATTAAGTATGAAATAATTATGAGTAACTATTTAACAGCACAGGCAAATTAAGTGCAAGTGCTAATTCAGGTAGTAATGAAGTAGTTACTAAGCGTGAATCATTATTAATTAAGTTTTTGTTCATTATTAATTAAGTCTTTGTTCATGCTTTATTAAGGCTAAATAAGGTGTAGTTATTATAAAGTGTTTCGGAAAATTTTAACCAAAAACAATCAATACAAAAACAAAGTATCTAGGTATTGTTGCTAAAAAAAAGTTTAAATAAAGTGTTTTTATTATCATCGTGTGTCAGAATCGGTATCGAGTATCGAATCTATTCCTCAGTATCGAAATAAAGTTTGAATTTTTTGTATTAACATTAGAATAAACTTCCTCTTAAAAATGCACTACGAAACTTTTCTGGTGGACGGTTCGCGAGTATGTTGGTTTCCATGGAAATGTTACGGCTTTAACCTTGAAAATTCCACAGTATGGCATTAAATTTGTTGTCTATATCCATGGAGACACACGGATGAAGCTGCCAAGCAAAGTTTTTAATGTATTTTTGAGCACAAACAGACCCAAAACTGTATAAATGTGAGACATATATACGTGTAATGCCACACTGCGGAACATTCCAGACAAAACAATAACATCTCCATCGAGTAAAGCGTTTGACGGAAGATAATTTGTTTCATCAGATTTTGAATTTTAAATGCTGTTGAATTTCTCACTTTGAATTTTTTTACTCTGAAAAATGAAAAAAAGTTTGAATTATTATTATTTTTTAAATTCTGAAACGTAATTGATAAAATTATATGTGCATAGTTAAAAAATTCAAAATATAAAAACACAGATATTTTCAAGCCCCCAAATTCAACAGTCAAAATTCAGAGCGTGTGCAAAAGCAATCGATCCAGAGGTGACAAAGGTGACTTTTAAAATGTAATCCCCTACAAATTACAGATTACATACCACAAAATGTAGTTTGTAACATAATCCATTAAATTAATTAAGGTGAGTAATGTAATCTGAATACTTTGGATTATTTGATTTGCTGTAGAGAAACAAAGACGAGGAAATCTTCACATAAGAAGTTTTGTCTGATAAAAGAAAATAAAAAGTCCAGATTTTACTGAACCAAATTAAAAATATTATTGATAAAAGAAGAAGAAACACGTCCAAGCAGCAGGATTTAGTCCTGTTAAATCCTGTTCGAGACATAGTTTAGACCTGGTTTTAGTCCTGGTTTAGTCTTGGTTTAGATGTGGTTTAGTCCTGGTTTAGATCTGGTTTAGACCTGGTTTTAGACCTGGTTTAGTCCTAGTTTTAGGCCTATCTTAGACCTGGTTTTAGTCCTGGTTTTAGTCCTGGTTCAGTCTTTTTTTAGTCTTGGTTTAGTCCTGGTTTAGATCTGGTTTAGACCTGGTTTTAGTCCTGGTTTTAGTCCTGGTTCAGTCTTGGTTTAGTCTTGGTTTAGATGTGGTTTAGACCTGGTGTAGTCCTGGTTTAGTCCTGGTTTTAGACTTGGTTTAGTCCTGGTTTAGTCCTAGTTTAGTCTTGGTTTAGACGTAGTTTAGACGTGGTTTAGTCCTGCTTTAGATCTGGTTTAGACCTGGTTTTAGACTTGGTTTAGTCCTGGTTTAGTCCTAGTTTAGGCCTAGTTTAGACCTGGTTTTGGTCCTGGTTTAATCCTGGTTCAGTCTTGGTTTAGTCCTGGTTTTAGACCTGATTTAGTGTCCGGCAATAAGTGGAATTACCGAGAAAAAAAAAGGGAAAAAAAGGGATATAGCCCAAAATGTGAAAACAGTAAAATACCGCCGTGTAATCCGTGTACTTCAACCAAGTAACTGTCAGAATAGCGATACACTCACACCGGATCGATCGCTTCTGCCTTGACGTCTCAAATTCAGAATAAAAACAAATTCAAAACACCTTTTTTCAGACTTAAAACGTCCAAAGCGAGAATCCCTTTGTATTTAAAACTCAAAATCACACAGCGCACCTTTAAATCTTAAACACAACGCTCAAACCCACTCCCTCCAGCTTAGAGGTCACTTATTTGACTATTCTAAAATGGAAACCTCACTAAACATTTTGTGGGCTGTTAGAGCAGATCCCTGTGAAGCGTTTGTCTCCCAGCTCCAAATTGTGCTGGCGAGAATGATTCAGTCACAAAAGAGCAGAGCATAATTGGCCCTAGACACAATGAGCTAATAAAGAGAGCTTGGCTGGAGCGATGGACAGATGTTCTGCTCTGAACCAGCCGCACCAGAGCACGAACACAGCTCAAACCTTTATGTGGATTTTTGGAGTTTTATTTATCCCCGAAAAAAAAAAAAAAAAGAAGAAAAAAAAGCGCTTCAATCATCCGTTGGTTTACTGTGTTCCGAATGTTCGACCACAGTTTTCCGCATGATGGAGGTGGGGTTTTATTTAGCGTTTAGTGGCCCGATCCAGTCTGTTTCACTGCTCCCGTTTAGATTTTTTCTCTTTTTTTTGTTTTTATCTACTATGTTGCTGTGAGAAAAATGGGCTGTGTTGCTCATGGGTACAACAAAAGTGAGATTTGAATGGGCTGGTTTCTGGTTAGAGGGTGAACGCTTTACAAACTGCGTCAATTCATGCTTTTTTTTCCCTTTAATTTTTGGTTAACACAAAAAAACAACAACTCTCAACATAAAAAACATGAGCGTTTGTCCACTGATCAGGAGGTTGGCTGTTCGAATCCCACTCTCAACATAAAAAATACAAGAGTTTGTCTACTAATCAAAAGGTTAGGGGTTCACATCCTGCTCTCAACATAAAAAAAAAACATGAGCATTTATCTACTGATCAGAAGGTTGGAGGTTCGAATCTCGCTCATTTAAAAAAACAAAACAAAAAAAAAACATAAAGGTTTATCTACTGATCAGAAGGTTGACGGTTCGAATCTAACTCTGAACATAAAAAAACATGAGCGTTGTCTAATGATCAGAAGGTTGGCAGTTCAAATCCAAGTCTCAACATTAAAATAAAAAAATAAAAATAAAAATTGAGCGTTTCTCCACTGATCAGAAGGTTGGTGGTTCAAATACTGCTCTCAAAATAAAAAAAACATGAGCATTTGTCCACTGATCAGAAGGTTGGCAGTTCAAATCCAGGTCTCAACATAAAAATAAATAAATAAATTTTAAAAAATTGAGCGTTTGTCCCCTGATCACCTGATCAGAAGGTTGGTGGTTCAAATACTGCTCTCAACATTAAAAACATGAGGGTTTATCTACTAATCAGAAGTTTAGTGGTTTGAATCCAACTCTCAACATAAAAACATGAGTTTGTCTACTGATCAGGAGGTTAGTGATTCGAATCCAGCTCTCAATTTAAAAAACACAAGCATTTGTCTAATGTTCGGAAGGTTGATGTTTTGAATCCAGCTCTCAAAATAAAAAAAACATAAGTGTTTATCTACTGACCAGAAGGTTTGTGGTTCAAATACTGCTCTCAAAATAAAAAACATGAGCATTTATCTAAAGATCAGAAGGTTGGAGATTCGAATCCAACTCTCAACATAAAAAAAAAAAAGAAAAAGAAAAATGAATGTCTGTCCACTGATCAGGAGGTTGGTGGTTCAAATCCAAATCTCAACATTGCAATTAACAAAAGGAAAAAACATGCACGTTTGTCCACTGATCAAAAGGTTAGTGATTCGAATCCCACTCTCAACATAAAAAACATGAGCATTTGTCCACTGATCAGAAGTTTGGTGGTTCGAATTTCGCTCTTCAGCTTAAACAACATAACCATGTGTCTACTGATCAGACGTTTAGGGATTCGAATCCAACTCTCAACATTAAAAAAATAAAATAAAATGCGTGTTTGTCTACTGATCAGAAGTTTGGTGGTTCGAATCAACTCCCAACATAAAAACACGAGCATTTGTCTAACGTTTGGAAGGTTGGTGGTTTGAATCCCGCTCTCAAAATAAAAAACCATGAGCGTTTGTCCACTAATCAGAAGGTTGGAGGTTTAAATCCAACTCTCAACATAAAAAAAAAGCAAAATGAACATCTGTCCACATGCATTTGTCCACTGATCAGAAGGTTGGCGGTTCGAATCAAACTCTCAACACAAAAAACATGAGCTTTTATCTACTGATCAGGAGGTTAATAGTTCGAATCCCACTCTAATTCGTCACCTTTGTCTACATTACAAACTCATTCCAAATTTAACATGTGGATTTTTCCGTAATTATCAGTCGTATCAACACAAAACCAAAACTGTAGTGACCCTGACGCTCTGCTCTTTATGCCTGAAGTACGTCCGTTTATGTTTTCAAAAAGATGGAAGAAAATCAAATTGAAACTCAAGCTCGATCAGTATGTGAAACTAAAACCGTGATCCTTTTTTTTCCCCTCGTATCTCGGGCAGAGTTTGTGTTTGTGTTTATATTTGTGTTCCGCGTGCTCACCTTTGGCCTGAGCGGCGGAGCTGTGGGAGTAGCCCAGAGACAGCAGAGCCATCTCGATCAGCTGGTTGAACAGCATGTCCTTCCTGACCAGGACGAACTCGGCGTGCTCCTCTTTACTGTCGAAGTCCAGCGGGTTCTCGAAGTGCTCCACCACGCAGAACACCGGCAGCATGTTACCTACAGGGGGCGCACAACACCAAACATTAACAAAAAAAAAGCCCTGGAAAACCACCTTTCATTCACTTTCTTATTTCTTTTGTTTGGTTTTTGTTGTTAGATGTTCCTATTTTTTCTCGATTTTCTGATTTGCTCATGTTTTATAGTTGGTCTGGATCATATTTGTAAGTATTTTAGCTTCATTTAATGTAATTTCATCTTTTTTTTTTTAAGTTAAGTTGCATTTTGGTTTTAATTTAACTGATCCGGCTTTGTTTTGTTTTTGTTTTTTTTTTTTTGCGTGCAGCTCTTTTTTTCCGCACAAACCTTTTTTATTGAGATATTTCTGACAAGTTTTTGAACTGGTGACCCTCCCATTAGTGGGCGAGTGCTTCACATTTACATCCACAACACTTTATAAAACCCCAAACTGAAAAAAATACACATGGTTGAAGAGGAGATGGGTGGGATTTTCGTTGCTGAAGATGCACAGCGTAACTTTTTGGTTGGTTGTTTCAGAGGTGGGACTAGGTCGTCGTTTTGCGAGTCTTAAGTACCGTATTTTCCGGGTTATTAGACGCGCTCTTAAGCCTCTAACCGCATCAAAAAACGACCGCGCGCCACAATCCAGAGCGCCCCATACACGAATCCACTCGGGTGTCCCAGCACGACTTCAGTAAACTACAAAACCGCAAACACACACGGAGCAGACAGCGACCGCACAACAAAACACACCCACAGACTAGGGACGGGCATTTGATGAAATTTTCTTAATTGATCGTCGGAAGAATTAACGATCAATTATCAATTAATCATTAATGTTTTTATATTAAAATGATCATCATTATTATTACTATCTGCACTACTAATCTGCATAAATAAATTCAACTTTACCACATATAAACATAACGACTCTAGATCCACATCAGCTGTTTGACATTATAATGTGTTTAATTCAGTTTTGTTCAAATCTCACAGAAACAAAACTTAAAACCACATCACTAATTTACATAAACTAAGTGAAGATAAAACTCCAGCTCTTGTGTCGCTGATGTGGTTCAACTTGTGTTGGATTAAAAGACATGACTCAGGTGAATACAGGTCAGTGTGACCAGATTTGTGTTTGTCAAAACCAGGACAGCGTACGGGGGGAGGGGGGCGGGGCCTCGTCATCCACATTGAGCGACTCTCACCTGGAAAAACTTTTTCCCACTGGACACAGAAACATATGTGCTGCTTTATCCACTGTGCACATGGACTCACACTTGTCCCAACGCAACGGAAAGTGTGGAATTTCTTCTACAAATCCTGGTTAAATCCACATTTGTGCTTCGGTTCGTTACAGACTGACCCACTGTTTGTGTCTCGCTCCTTCTGATGCAGAGACACATGTACACACCTGTTTGGTCACGATACACACAGAAACCTACATTCAGTTTGTCGATTAAAATGAACGTAATCGATGAAATTCTTAATGATCAATTATCGATTAATCGATTAATCATGCCCATCCCTACCACAGACACACTCATCACTCCACGCCGACGAGGAACGGAACGGAGGAAGGAACGAAAAAAGCGAGCGCGACGTGCCGCTTCTAGACACGACTGAACAACTGAGTCACTGTGAACGCGCCGACAATCCGTTAGTCCCAGACACACCCTCCCTACACGCCACAACTGAACAAAGCCCAGAGTCACCGTGAACGAACAAACAAACAAAACCACTCACCCATCACACTGTTGGGTTTCCTTTAAAGTCCCACGCCGTTTATTTGTGAAAAAAGTTCGAAAATAGACCATTTAATGACAGTGCGTCTTATATTTCACCTAATAGCCCGGAAAACACGGTAAGTCTCAAGTCTCTGACCTCAAGTCCAAGTCGAGTCCAAGTGCTTTGAGTTTTAAGTCATTTCAAGTCTTTTTTTGCAATTGATATGAATTTTAAGATGAACTTTTCTTTAAAAAAATCATAGTATATTTATATTTAAGTATTTATAAGAGTTGCAGAATTGTTATTTTTTCCTTTTTAAATGTTTTGACAAGGTCTTAGTGTGAATTATTACGGTCAGAATAGAAAAAAATCTGATTTAAAAGTGCTTCTCAAAACTTCTTAAGTCACAGGCCTCAAGTCCAAAGTCTTTGAGCTTCAAGTCCAAGTCAAGTCCAAAGTCTTTGAGCTTCAAGTCCAAGTCAAGTCCAAAATCTTTGACCTTCAAGTCCAAGTCAAGTCCAAAGTCTTTGACCTTCAAGTCCAAATCAAGTCCAAAATCTTTGAGCTTCAAGTCCAAGTCAAGTCCAAAGTCTTAGTCCATTTTATCAAGCCAAGTCAAGTCCTAAAAATAATGACTCAAATCTGACTCAAGGAGCGAACGACACACGGATTTAACACCATTACAACGCGACTTAAAGCTCAAGTCAGAGTCAAATTGACCTAATATTGGACCTTTAAAGCTGCACTGCGTAACTTTTTGTTCATCGATCTGCCTGGAATGTTCCGCAGTGTGACTTTAAGCAGCTCTACTTTACATTTATTCAGTTACAGCTGGTTTTACGGCTCAAAAATACTTCTTCTGGTTTGGTCTCCATGAAGACAGAAAGGTTTAAAGCCAGACTGTGACATAGAGAAAAAAAAAAAACATTTGACAGGCCCTCCACCAGAAAAGTTACGCAATGCACCTTTAACACACATTTCATCGTTCTGAAAATGCTGTGTTCGCGGAAACAACACATTAATACGGTCCGTTTCGGTTTCGATTTTGCCGCTGAGTCAAAAAGAACCAAAAAAAAAACTCCCCGTTCAGAGCGAAACCACAAAACAATCTGCATTAATGAAACTCCTGCACATCGCATCAGGTTTGTGAAGTTGTAGTGTACAGTTTTGTATCATGTTTTTGTGTATTTATGGAGAATTGCAGCGTGGGAGCGTGGGTCTGAGTCTTAGAAATAAAAAACAAAAAAATATATTTATAGATCGCTTTTAAAAACAAGGTTTACGAAGTGCTCCACACTCATCCCAGAACAATAATGCAAAAAAAAAAAAAAAAAAAAACATAAAGAAAAGAGACAATGAAGCAGATAAAAACCAATTAACAGACTCAAAATAAGTTCTTGACCTGATTGTTCTGAGGAGGGTTCAAACAGAGGCCTGGGAGAGATCGCTAGATTACCCAAACATGCATGGACGACATATAAAACCGCTTCACTGTTCAGTTTTGGTTTTTAAAAGTCAATTTTAAGTGTTCAGTGTGTCCATTTGTTCATTTAATTGATCTCAGGCCTGTCAGGATAATTACAAGTGTTGTTCCGATACCATTTTTTGGGATACGATCTGATACCGATACTTGGCTTTGGTGTATTTGCCGATACCAATACCACTCCGATACTGCATAGTGTGCGGTTACTCAATTTTGTTACACTACAAGAGCAAAAAATAAATCTTCTACAAGGCTGTTTTTAATGAAAATCTACAAGAATTAAATTTTGTGGAATAAAGTATTGCTGTCTGATTTAAGCCTGAGTACTCACCGATACGATACCTGAAAAATGTGTGGTATCGGAGACGTTTGGAAATAAATCATAACCGTCTAATGAAAACTTAACTGCACGCCGTAAAAATCCCGTGACTTTTTCAGGCCTGGAAATTGACATTTTCAATTGTTATGACTTTTCCAGGATTTCCATGACTGGGGGAACCTTGTTACTAAGTTTGGGCAAAGTTAATATGAAAAACAGCAATTTTACTCAAGACAGTGAAGTTGTCAACACAATTGTAGCTCTTTGTGGGGAAGTTGGCCTGATGTGGTCAAAAGTCGGAGGCAGATGCAACAAAAAACATGACAAAACTCAGACAAAATTGATCTTAAAACAGACTTCTGGAGTTTACCACAACAAAAGTACAAAAAAACAGAAAATAAGTGACTCAAATCCAAAAAACCCAAACAACCTGCACAAGTCTCTTCCCTAACTGATGACACCTGCTCTGCCTTTAGACTCCGCCCAGCAGGAAGTACCTCCCCCAGGTGAGGACTGGTCCCACTTTTCAAAGCAAAGACGTCTCCTTTCAAAATCAAAATGTTTAACGTAAACTCAGGTGAATTGAAAATGAGACAAACGCCCACTTTGTCACACTCTTACACAAAATAATTTGGCGATAAATCGATACAGCAGCTCACGATATCGATACTGTATCATCACATTAAGCGATACGATATATGGATATTTCAATATTTTTGCACAACCCTGGTCTTAAAATGTTCGTATTAACCCTCTACATGATCCTGATGTTTTTATTTATTTATTTTATCAGTTAAAACAGACATGTCAAACTCAGGCCCAGGGGCCAAATTTGGCCCATGATATAATTATATTTGGCCCGCGAGATCAAATCAGACCTGTATTAGAGCTGCCCACCGCACACAGATAAACTACAGAGACATTATTTATTTAAAATCATGTTATTATTTTATATTCTGCTTGTCTTGGATTCAATGTTTAAGTAAAACATTTTTTTTTTTTTTTTAATAAGAAAAGGTTTAACATTACAAATCTCGAAAGAAGAGAAAAACATCTTGCTGAAATTTTTCAATAACTATTTAGTTTGGCCCACGACTTAGTCACAGTTTTTAATTTTAGCCTCTGTGACGCCCCTGAGTTAAAACATGGAACTTTCCTCCAAATTTGCATTGTTTAAATTTTATTAATCAAAACTGTCACATAAACGAGTTTCCTTCCTCTAAAACTCTAAAACGCAACAAAACTGTAGAACTGCAACAAAATAACTGAGTAAAATAAACCAAAAAATCCTCTTGGTGATATATCGATACAGCAGCCCACGATATCGATACTGTATCATCACATTAAACGATACAAAATGATGATATTTCAATATTTTTGCGTAGTCTTAAAATGTTTGTATTAACCCACTCTACATGATCTTAGTGTTTTTATTTCGGCATTTTATCAGATAAAATATGGAACTTTGCTCCAAATTTGCTCCTAAACCTGCCACCCTCGATGAGC